GAAAGGATTAAAAAAAAAACATTGGTATCTCTACACAATAGAGTATTACTCAGTGGAATACAACAATGACATCATGGAATTTGCAGGCAAATTCTATGGATGGAGTTAGACTAAATCATCATGAGTGAGGTAACCCAGACCCAGTATGTACTCACTCATGGGCAGATGTTAGATGTAAAGCAAAGGACAACCAGTCTACAATCCACAACCCCAGAGAAGCTAGGCGGCAGTGAATGAATTAAGAGGGACACCAGGATCTTTCTGAGAAGAGGAAAGAGATGAGATGCACTAGGTAAATTAGGGGAGAGGGGAGTAGGGAGGAGGGGATGAGAACGTGAGGGATAAGGATGGTTGAGTTGGGAACAGGGCAGAGAGGGAGAGTAATGAAAAAGATATCTTGAAAGAGGAGGCTATTATGGGGTTAGTGAGAAAGCTGGTGCCAGAAAAACTCCCAGGAATGCACAAGGATGACCCCAGCCAAGATTCCTAGCAACAGTGGGAAGGGTGCCTGAACTGGCCTTCCCCTGTAATCAGATTGGTGACTACTCTAATTGTCATCATAGAGCCTTCATCCAACACCTGATGGAAGCAGATGCAGAGAATCACAGCCAAGTACTGGGCCAAGCTCTGGGGGTCCGGGTCCAAGAGTGGGAGGAGGGATTATGTGAGCAAGGGTGGTCAAGATCATGATGGGGAATCCACAGAGACACCTGATCAAACCTTGTGGGAGCTCAAGAGACTCTGGAGGAATAGCTAGGGAGCTGACATGGGACCATCCTAGGTCCTCTGCAATCAGGCTGACAGTTGTGTAGCTTGATCTTTTGTGTGACCCCTAGCAGGAGGACCAGGACCTGTCTCTGGTGAATTAGCTGGCTCTTTAGAACCTATTCCCTATGGTGGGATTCCTTGTTCAGCCTTGAGGAAGCAAGGAGGAGCTTGTTCCTGCCTCAGTTTGATATGCCATGCCTCCCAAGGGAGGCCTTACCCCATCTGAATGGAGATGGATGAGGAGCTACTGGGGGGGGGGGGCAGGGTAGAAGGGAGGTTGGGAAGGGAACAGGAGGAGAGGAGGGAGGAGAAAATGATTTGTATGTAAAATAAACTTTAAAATGATGAATAAAGGAAGAAAGAAAAGAAACACACTAGTACTGACTGCAGTGAGTACATGTGTGAGTGCTGTATACATGTGCCCCAGCATGTTTGGGGAAGTCAAAGGTCAACTCTCTGGAGTCCATCCTTTTCAGTCCTGGTGGAATTTGGAGACGTTCATGTGGTCAAATTTAAATAGCAAACACCTTTACCTGCTGAGCCATCTCACCATTCCTACTTCAAGCCATCATTGTAAGTTGGTGGAGGTGGATGGAGTCACTCACTGCCATGTCACAGAACCTGAAATTCTCACAGAGTTTTCACAGATTTATCAAGGAAATATATATGCAGACCCATGATGCAAAGTTCACTGCTCATTGCTATGAAGAGGAAAAAGTTTAATGTGTCAGTTTCATAAAATGGATTTTTTAAAGTAAGCAGAATGTTTCCTTATCCATTTATAAAACCTTTCACATAATTGTATATTCTTTTCTGTGTCTATTTGGTGTCTTTTACCATTTTTCTATACTTGTCCTGAACATTGTGACTATCTAACTGGTGAGGAGACCCTACTATATCTGTTATATAAGAACACCTCACCGGAGAACATTTTTTAAAACTCCAGATTCTCAGGGCTGGGGTGATGGCTCGGGGTTTAAGAGCTCTTGCTGCATTTCCACAGCTCCCAGCACCCACACTGAGTGGCTCCAAACTACATGTAACTCAAGATCCAATGGAATGCTCTTCTGGCCTCCACAGCTACTGGCACAAACACACACACACACATACACACACACACACACACACACACACACACACACACACACACACACACAAAGTTTTTTTTAAATCTTCCTTTAAAACACATAGATTCTAGATACTCATCTGTGAGGCAATTCTCCTAAGAGATGCCTGGGAATCAGAAATTTTGAAACCTATAATTTGTTTTCAAGACAGGGTCTCACTGTGTATGCTAAGAGGGCCTCAAACTCTTTTTTATCCTTCTGAGTGCTGGGCTTATAGGCAGGCACTCTATCACCCATGTGATAAAATCAATTTACCAAATAAATCAGCACATACTTCATGTGCTCAGTCAATCCATGTCAAATACTGTTCTGAGTACTTTGCTATCGTAAATAATTATCACAAAAATTCTAATACGTATCCTCTTCATACACTGTTTTCTGAAGATGATAAAGCGGGGGCACTTCCTTCCTACAAAGCAAATATTTTAGTAAGCACTGTTTCTCTGGGGAACCCGTCACCCTACTGTAATCTGAGAATCACAGGATACACTGACTGATACCCAAAACTATGCTACCTATTTGAAAAGGGATTATTAAGAGATTCTTAGTAAGTGGGCTAGAGAGGTGGCTCAGCAGCTAAGAGCACCTGCTATTATTGAGGATCAGGGTTCAATATACACTGAACACACAATGGCTTACCATCTGTGTAAGTTTAGTTCCAAAGAACCTGGCACCCTCTTCTGACCTCTTCAGGAACCAGCCACATACACACAGTGCACACACCTACAAGCACTCAAAACACTGTACAAGAGACAGGCATGGTAGATCACACATAATCCCAGGACAGAGGAGACTGGCGGGTTGAGGTTGAGACCTGCCTGATCTACAAAGTGGGTACCAGGACAGCTAGGGCTGTTACACAGAGAAACCCTGTCTCAGAAAACCAGAAAGAAAATCCACTTATAAAATAAAAGTAAGTCTTTTAAAAAGAGAGACTCCTACTAACCTGGCATTTCCTTGTCACTATAACCACAGAAGTCTTGCTACTTTTGAATCTACAACCCATGAAATGACTCCCCTATTTTCTGTTGTCTACTCCCAACCTGACTCGCTGCAGCTCTGAGAATAAAACTCAGGGCCTCACTGTACAACCATACACCCCTAGTCCACTATTGTTTAATGCTTATCTAAGTTCATATTTGTGAGGGAAGAATAGCTCAGTGGTCCAGAGCATGAGTTAGGCCCTTGGATATCTTAAGCACCAAACATTAATTAACTTTTTAAAGACAACCAAATGTTCACATAAAATGATCTAATGTATGACATAATAAGTATATAACATCATATACATGAAAAAAATCACTAAAATTTTAAGTATTTCACCACAAATACAATTATATGAGGTTATTGGGTTAATTAGCTTGATTTCACCATTTCACAATACATAAATTTCAAAGTGTCATTTTAAATGTCAGAAATATATACAATTTTGGTCAAGCAACCTTTTAAAATGTTTTAATCCCAGCACTCTTGAGATAGAGGCAGGTGGGTGTCTGTGAGTTTGTTGCCAATCGATATACATAGCCAGTTCCCGGACAGCCTGGCTTACATAGGGGAGGCCCTGTCTCACAAAAGAGATCATAACTACATTACTGAGTTCACATGCTGTGAGTCCATAAGGGCACTTTCTCAAATACACTCTGATAGATGCTAAACTAGTTGCAGGTCTTTGTAAACCAAACACGTTTACTGTCCATCCTGGTGTTATCAGGCTGGTCACAAACTCTAAATCCTACTTGTCTTACCATGTCCTGCACTGCTTAAAATCAAAATGGCACACAATGATCCCCCAAAGATCTATACAGCCTATGTTTCTTAAACAAGGATGCGGTGCTATTTGCCCAAGTTCCTCTGAGAATTCTTTTTTCATTTAAAAGGTTGCATAGTGCTCAGTTTAAAAAACAAAACAAAACAAAACAAAAAAACCCACTGTTTTCCCTCAACCACACCTCCAGGTTAGATTCAGCACTCATCACAAATTAACGACAGTGTCTAGACAGAACCCAGGCAATCAGAGCAAGCTGGGCTGGGCCTGTGGGTCCCAGCTCTACAGCCATGACAATCACTTTTTGTCTTTTATCACACTGACAGAAACTAATGCACCCAGTCTCAAGGATGCTTTCTGGGTTGGATGCAGTAAGAGAGGCCTGTAAATTATAATGCGCCAGAAGCTGAAACAAGAATATTACACTTCCTAGCTCAGCCTAGGCTTCATAGTAACTGTCTGGCAACACAGGGAGACTTTGTCTTGGGGGGGGGGAAACTTAATTTAAAAAGCAAGAGTTCTGAGGCCAAAGCCACCTAAGCTATTCTCCCTTTTTACTCATAGGAAAGAGACCCTTAAAGGAGACCATAAAAGTACTTAGTAGCTGAAACAGAAGTAATCCCGGTCATCGTTACACAATGTGACTATTAATATTGCGAATTAATTCTAGGCCAGGTACGGTCGTATGAGTCCCTTAACCCCCCCCCCCAAAAAAAGAATGAGTCCCTTAACCCCCCCCAAAAAAAGAAAAACACAAAAAACAGAACTCCACACACACCCCCCCTCCTCCACCAGAGAGTTGTGGCAGGTGCCTTCAATTCCAGGAAGCAGGATGCAGGCAGGCAGATCACTGAGTTTGAGGCCCAGTTCCAGGTCAGGCAGGGCCTTTAAAGAGCAAAACCCTGTCTAAAACAAAACAAAAACAAACAAACAAAAACAAAACAAAAAACAAACCACCTGCAAATGACTCCTTAAACCTCCCTACAGCCATTACCTCCGTTATTTCAGGCGCATTTCGACCTCCCTAGTCCCCACTCTCCCCAGCGTCCTCTCCATGACTGCTTGCCTCCTAAATTCATTTATCCTGACCGGCAACCAGATTGTTGCAGCCAGGGGGAGACGACAGCTGAAGAGACTAGAGAAACAGACTCCACCAGCCACTGAAGCGGCTGCTTCACCCGCCCCTCCCTCAGCCCTGGAGCTACACCCAAGGCGCATGTCCCGCCAGAGGCCGACGCGGCTCGATGACGTCACGGGAGGCGCCAAAGCCGAAGTCTGGTCCCGGTCCAGTGATGTCCCTGGAGCAAGTGTGCGTGCACTGTGCTTACGTGGTTTTTTGGTCACAGAGGGTTTTACCAGCGGAAATTTCAACAAGAAAGAGCCCTGGTTGCTGGAAGCTGCTGAACAGAGCGAAGAAAGGGAAGGAGTGAGTGAGGCCTGAAGTAGACTTAATAGGAGCGCTCGGGAAGCCGGAGGACAATGAAGGGTAAGCGAGAGGACACACACGAAATTGAGACTGGTGACAGTATAGACGGTCGGGAACTGGAAGCTGAATCAGGGATTCCTGTCACAACAGAGTCCAAGACAACTTCCAGGGAATTGACTCAGAGTACCCAAAAGCAATGGAGACCCAGAGTGTGAATCGGCCCGACTCAATCTGTAGACTAGAGTAGATGTCGGGATGAGTATGTGTGTGTGTGTCATCCCCAGGGAAACTAGTGCCGCTCAGGAGAACTAGAAGAGGAGCATCCAAGGCCTTTAGCTTGTGCTGCCCACTGCCTGCCTGAATAAGTCCTGCGAAGGGCCCTGCTCCCTTCCACCGCCTGGCTTTTCACCCTTCCTCTTATAAAAACCTCCCAAGGTGCGGTATCACAAACCTAAGGCGTTGGTATGTGAGCAGAAAGGAGATGTGCCAGGAAAGGAAGCGAGCACTGGAGCGGTATTAGAGGGGACAGAAAACACTGTAAAGATTAAGCCTCTGATCTAATGATTTACACCCCTGCCATGTCCTTTTATCAGAGATCAGGTGCCTTGGCATGACTCAACGTCAGTATTGTTATCTGAAAAAATGGAAATAACTATATTCCAAGTGGCCTAGGAAGATTAATGAGATTACAAATAATTATATACACACGTGTGTGTGTGTGTGTGTGTGTGTGTGTGTGTGTGTGTCTTTGTAAGTCAACAACTTGACAAGCACTGAGTGAACCAGAGCTATCACATGTGTACTGCAGCAGGAAGACTCCCAAATCTGGTGCTAGGAATCTGGGGTAGGTAAAACAACGTTATTCTTAGGTCCTAGACCCTGCACATTTTTCTCAAGAAACAAACTACAGTCTCAATCTGCAGTTCAAGGGTGAACTAGATTCTGTATGTAAAACTGGTAACTACATGGTCAGACATGTACTCAGGGAAGCGCAAGAGAACATGCATGGGTTTTTATTTGTATTTGTTTTTGTAGCTGTTGGGATGAGGTCAGCTATGTAGTCCTGACTGAGCTGGAACTCACTGCTCTCTTCCTCTGAAGTGATGGGATCCACTGTGTGTACCACCACACCCAGCTCAGAGAGTGAATATGTAGTGTGTAGTGAGAGCTGCATATTCTGGCCATTTGCCCTTTCTTAGTCCATGTAACTCCTGTACTCTGTCCCCCAGTGCCACCATGATGATTTCCTCCAAACAAATAAGACACAGGAGCATGAGGTTTAGAGAGAGTTTGGCATCAGGCTGGACATATTTATAATTTGAAGAAAGACTGTTGTATCTATCTGGTCAGGATACATTCCCGATTTTATGGATTCTAACTTGAAAAATCTGTTTTAAACTTCTTTTTTTGTTTTGTTTTGGTGTAAACTTCCTGTAGTCACCAAAATGTCCAGTTTCAACCAAGCACACCCTAGCCCATTAACATCACCTCACTTTTAGTGTCTTCACTTCTTAGTGAGTAACTGTCCAGGCACAGTTATCAGAACAACTCTAAATATCCTCCAGTGAGGATTTTTTTTCGGGGGGGGGGGGGGGCCATGCAGAGTTTAGAGTAGGAACTAAAACCACATATTTTAATAAGATCCCCGTGATTCTTAAACACCTTAAGCTTTGAGAGGTGCTCTTCATAACCCTCACCCTGGGAGTTTCCAGGACAAGTCTGGCCAGAGGAAACAGTAAGATGTATCTAGGATAGTTGTGGTGGTACATGTCTATAATCCCAGCAACTAGCACTTGGGAGCCTAAGACAGGAGAACTGGGGGTGTAAGGCACTGTGGGCTACACAGCAAATGCTAAGCCAGCCTAGGATACAAAGTGAATAAATATTTAAATAGGCAGCATTCAGTAGGGCCAGGGGCATGGATCCATGGGGAAGCCCTTGCCTGGCCTGCATTAAACCCCACTGCAGAGTAAAATAGAAGTGTCATCCAAGAAAGCTTTGCCTTCTCATACTAACCCAGTATTCTTCCTCTGAATAAGTGTAGTTGTTGTCATAGTTCGAAAAGCCTTGGATATTATACTCATTTCTCACAGGAAGTAATCTTCTATGTTTGTCTTTCATCCCCCAGCTGTGATTTACCATGCCTTTTCTCATAAAGAAGCCAAAGAGCACGATGTACAGGTACAGTCTTTCAAAGGTGGGCTGGGAGCAGGAGACTTGACAGCAAAGATGGCTCAGAATCTTCAAAGAAAGACTGGTCTAGCTGTCCTCTCCCGTGGATTACTCCTCATCTTTACAGTCAGTATATTAGGCTCCGTCAAGGTCTTTTGTGCTGATATCTTTGTGTGCCAGGCTCCTCTCCTAGGGTACCAGAGTCAGCTCTGAGGGACTTGGCCTGCTTGATTTCATGTCATTTCCTACTCTGTAGGGAATGACAGTGACAGCCTGTGCCTACCTGAAACCTCTCTTGCTCTTGCTCTGCCCCGTTCACTGCTCAGCCCATTTTTCATAAGTGAGTGTTACAGATTCTATCTGGGTATGTCAGCGTGCTTTGTCATTTGGGCAGAAGCTTCACGTGTGGCTCATAAAGAGAGCATATCCTGCCAGGTTGTGTGGAGCATGTCTTTAATCTCGGCACTTGGGAGATAGAGGCAGGCAGCTGTCTTAGTTCAAGGACAGCCAGGGCTACACAGACAAACCCTGTGTCAAACAAACAAACAAACAAACAAACAAAAAGAGAGAGAGAGAGAGAGAGAGAGAAAAGACGGAAAGAGAGACAGAGAGAGGCTGACTATCCTTGAAATCAAGATTGTAAAAGGCCAGTAAACCTTTAATTTCACTTCCCCATGAAAGAGAGACCACTATGTTCTTAAAAGAACCAAATTGGGCTGATATTGGTGATGGACTGTATAGCCATCCCTGCCTTGAAGTATCTCAAAGATTGTGTTTTCTGTCTTTTTACCCCCTCCTTTAGCACAGAGAGGGTATCAGTCACTGTTGATGTGTTAACCTAAAGCTGGCAGTTAGCCTCAGACTTCTTTTTACTGTGTCTGGTTAGTGCAAAAAGAGCCCAGCAAATGGCATAACCAAGTGGTAGGTATAGTGTGATTTTTTTTTTTTTTTTTTTTTTTTTTTTAATTCTTTTACTTTTCTGAGGAGCACATCATCAAGCTCCCAAAGAAATCACACACACAGGCTTATTCTTAATTATGAATGCCCATCCTGAGCTCGGCTTGTTGCTAGTCAGTTTTTCATAAGTATAAATTCTCCCAACTACCTTTTGCCTCTGTGCTTTTTCCTCTTCTTACTTCCGTATATGTTATTTCACTCTTAACTCCTTGGCTCCCTGACATTCTCCTCCCCTTGTTCCCTTCTTGCTTCTTTTCTTCATCCTTTCTCCTTCTATGTATCCTCTCTGCCTGCCAGCCCCACCTGTCCTTGCTCCTGCCTCGCTATTGGAGGTTCAGCTCTTTATTAGACCATCTGGTGCTTTCGACAGGCAGCATAAACAAAAGACACACCTTAAAATGATGTTCCCCGACAGGTAGGTCCTCGGGAAAGAGCACTGCCTGGGGTTGCAGCAGATGAAGACCGCGTGAGATACTTGCTGCACCCCAACTTGACGGGTGGTGATACTAGAGTGTTTCAGGACTGGGTGCAGCTGTGAAGTACTTCCCTAGGAAAACGTGTAACTTGATGTCCTGTTGTGAGAGTGAGGAGTGCCCGAGATGCACTCACACTTTCTGCCTCTAAGTGGGGCTGGAGCAGAAATCCAAGAGCAGCCACATGGGGTCACAAGAACAGAGGAGGACTGTGGTGCTCAGTGTCCCCATTCCTCCTCCTTGACCTCCCTGGAAGCCCAGGCAGTTTCCCCCTGGTGCTGGAACAGCTCATTTCCCTAAAATCCCAGCTCCCTTCCACTTCAGTCTAGTCTTGAGGTCATGACTGGCTCACATCCATTACTCAAGCTTCCTTCCCCCACAAGGATTAGAGAAGTCTTGCATCACAGAGGGTTTTAGATGCTCCATAGGGTAAGCTCAGAGAAGCAGGCCAGGAAGTCAGTGTTTGACCTGGCTGCAGTGTGGAACAGTGTCACAGTTAGCATGTGAGTGTTACTGTTACATCTTGGCAGTTGTGTGTAGCAAACACTTGGACAGACAGAAAGGGAGGCAAAGATGGTGGCTCTCAGGAATGGGGTATGAGGATCCTGGTGTCTGAGAGCAGAACGGTGAACCACATCACCATGTCTCTGAGCAGGAGCTGGGAAGCCAGCGGGCTGAGGCCTTTGTGAGGGCCTTCCTGAAGCGGAGCATACCGCACTTGAGCCAGCAAGATTGTGAGAGCCATCTCCAGCGCAAGGCTGTGGTCTTGGAATACTTCACTCGCCAGAAGCCAAAGCAGCAGAAGAAGAAATCCAAAGGCCTCTCTGCCAAACAGAGGAGAGACATGAGACTGTTTGACATTAACCCAGAGCAACAGAGGTACATCCATCTTTTCTAAAGGCCTTGCCACTCACCATTGTCTTGTCTTCCAGGTCAGGGTGTGAACTCCTCAAGACTTCAGGGGCTTGCTGGGCAGCCCTGCCCCCTTAATGTCAGACAGTTTTCCACCTTCTGCCACAAGGAGGCAGTGTCCCCCCTACTAATTGTTTGTTTGTTTGTTTGTTTTGTATCTTGTCTTGGCCTTGAAAAGGCAGGCATTGGTGAGTGTGAGGGCGTCTGGCTGCTCTCCTAGTCTCCTCACTAATAAGTAAACCTGTTGCCCGGGCTTATCCTTTGGCTTTCTAGAAAAGGGGAACATCGTGATTTTCCTGTAGCTTTTAATATCACGAGACAGAATGACCCACTCAGAGGTTACTGCCAAGGAGAGGTCCTGCATATGCATTTCAGAAGTTTCTGAAAGGAACGCATCACTGTCTTGTGGGAGGATGATGTCTCCCTCCAGATAGTTCTGAGCCTGTGTTTACAGCCACTACTTATAGGCTTTGTATAACACTATCACACAGCTTGCCATGTCCCAGAAGGCATGAGAGTGCCTCCCTGGGGTCCTTGCAGGAAGTGCTTGTTTCAGATTTGAGCCTGGTGTTCTTGACTGTTGTCTAACCTTGGCTTTGTGTGAATGGGCACCAAGACAAATGATAACAACCCAAGAGGAAAGCTTTTAGCCCTCTATTGTCAACTTCCAGACAATCCTGCTACCTTACACAAGGACCTGCCTGGCAACCTTCACCTGCTGTAACACGGTTAAATAAGACTGATTTCTCTTGGGAGAAGGAGATAGGGTGAACAGCGCCTGGGTTATTAGGGCTGATGCTACATCACCACCTTCAGATGCTCTTCCTGCTTTGAGCCAGGGGCTCCACCATCACACCTACAACTGGCCAGCAGGAAGGGCATTGAGGCAGTGGGCCACTTCTTCCCCTCTCGAGGGCAGAAATTTAGCCTTGGAAAGGTTCTACCCGGGAAGAAATTGAAGTCCAAGGAGGGGAGTGTACTTGGCCTTGGTCAGTTGTCATCGGGGAACCTGGTGACACAGTCTCAATTGCTCCCTCGTGCTCATTCTCAGCCTTGAGCCCAGCTGTTTTGCTGAACACTGCAAATTCCAAGCTCATGGTTCTGACTTTCTACCTGTTTCTGACTTTATGACAGATACAGTCTCTTCCTTCCCCTGCATGAACTCTGGAAGCAGTATATCCGTGACCTGTGCCATGGGCTCAAGCCAGACACGTGAGTTTTATTTCTGAAGCCTGCCATGGGAGTAGATCCCCCGACTTGAGAGCACTAGAGATGCAACCTGAGAAACCAGTTGGCTGTGGGTGTTTGTGATCTGTTTGCCTCGTTACCAACTCTGCTTTGTGGCTCTCTTCACCTCCTAGGCAGCCACAGATGATTCAGGCCAAGCTCCTAAAGGCAGATCTTCATGGTGCTATTATTTCAGGTAAATTCTATGGAGCATATGGTCATTGGAGACTGTCACTCAGTGGCAGAATTCATCCTGTCATCTGTCACTGGGTATCCCGGACGTATCTCTAAGTTACAAGCAGTGAGCATCTAAAAATGCTTGTGACCTGACCCACCCTGGGTCCTCGTTAAACACACACTAATTGGTCTCTGCATGCCATCGACTCACACTGTTGGCACCCTAGCCTCTAGCTGAGTCTCTTCGGGACAGATTTCCTCTCCTCCTGGTTTCCAGTGTGCCATCACCAGCGGACTCACCCCATGGCACCCAACAGCAACTTGGACATCCGAGATGTACCTCAAACTGCCTATCCAACATAGAGCCCTTGGCCTCCCCTGAGGTCAGCTCTCTCCGACCTGGATTCCTCATCTGTGATAATGGCAGATGATCTCTATATCCAGTTTGTTCGGGCTAGAAACCTAAGAAGCACACACACATTACCTCCTTCCTGATCTCTACCTCATGTCTGCTAGCACACCTACTTCCCCACTCTAACCTACCTCCAGCTCCCTCAAGTTGCTGTGGAAAGCTTCCTCTCACCCTCCTTCCCCAGCTCACATACTGTGTCATTTCCACATAAACACCAGATTAAATGCCCAGAGTGAAGTCTGTCGTCAGACATCAGACTGCCTACTGCCATTTGCCTGTTGTAAGCTTCTAGCAGCTTCCCATCCACTCAGAGTAAAAGTGTTCAGTGGCCTTGGGCTGGCTTCTGTGTGACTGGGACACCAAGTCCCCTTGCTTGGGTCCTTCTCAAAATGAAGGGGCTCTGAGGGTTCTTGTATTGACTCCTGCTGTAACTCACGTCCCTTTCCTGACGTCGCTTCCTGAGAGTCTGTCACCATTAAACTTTGCCTTCCACTCCCATCATTCTGTCCTTCTTTTCCTCATAGCCATTATCAGTATCAATAAGTAGAATCACCCATGTTTTGCTATACACTGTCCTCCATGCGAACTTCAGCTCACAGGAGCAGGATACAGGCCATCTCATTCAGTGCCCTGCCTCAGCACCCACCTAGCAGACTAGGCACATAGATTGCTCCAGATGCTGACCGCATGGAGGCGGGCAGGGGTCTGTCTCCCCGTGAGGTGCCTCAGCCCTCGTTGCTGGGCAGCTCTATAGAAGGACTACATTCCAGGAAAAGTTCAGGAGGCTCTTCCCTCATCAAAGCAACAAGACTGGGCTTTGCTGGTTCTGCATATGACCTCTTGGATCCAGAGCCCTGTCCAAAACCCAAACGATGCCTAAGAATAGCCCAGAGATTGCAACGCCCAGGACAAGGAGTTGGGAAGCTTGCTGGCTTGGTCATTGCCCAGCTACAGAGCCACTATCCTCTGGGCACTCTTCCTCAGCTTAGAAGGGTCAGGTTCCCAGTCCCTGAGGCCAGGCTGTGAATGCCAGCACTACCCAGGCCTTATCCTCAAATGCTTTTCTCCTTTGCAGTCACAAAATCCAAGTGCCCCTCCTATGTGGGGGTCACAGGAATCCTTCTGCAGGAGACCAAGCATGTCTTCAAGATCATCACCAAAGAAGACCATCTGAAAGGTGTGTGTTGTGTTCCTAGGGTGTCACATATCTCCCGTTCTTGTGCCTCCCAGGTTCCATGTGGCTGTGGAGTCAAACAGGCTGCAGGTGCTAGCTGTGTTATGAACTCCAGAGAGAGGCCCCTGCCCTGTGACTCCCAGGACACATCTGTGAACATAGTCAGAAGCCTGTCCATAAACAGCACAGAAGAACTGCTTGGCTGGGTCTTTGACCCAGGTCTGTCTGAGGTCTCTACCTACCCATGATACCAAATCTCATACGAGTAACTAAGGGACAGGCAGGAGGGACCAAAAGCACCTGCCTGCCCCTGTAGTTCTGAGAACTGCACCTTTGCTGGAGACACTCTGCGTATTTGCATGATTAGCGCTTTTCCAGCTGGTACTTTTGAATCTTCCAACATCCCCGTTACCTGACCTTGCCCACAGATCCAAGATGCAAACAACCGTTGTAGGATTTGTACTCATTCATCTGTTGATACTGGAGATCAAGCCCAGGACCTCTGTCTGCTAATCTTGTGCTCTGCACCAGAGCTACCCCACAGCCCTGGCTCACTGTTTGTCCATTTCCTTGTATGTTCTTTTGCTCACATCATAAGTCTAAGGTGGGAGTGTAGAACCTTCCCCACTGAGCACAAATCCAAGAACCAGTGCCAACTGGCTTTGGTGGTCTGGGAGCCTTCAGTTCTGGGAATTGAGTTAATCACCTCAGAACCTGGAAATTAGGCATCGAGTTTTATTTAGACTGTGAACCAAATAGCCCAGGTCTTCCTTTCTGGTTGGGTTGGGTTCTGCATTCCTATAACTTGTTTTATTTTTTATTTCTTTCTTTCTTTTAAAGACAGTCTCATTATGTAGTCCTAACTAGCTTGTGACTTGCTGTATAGACCAGGCTGCCATGAACTCAAGAGATCTGCCTGCTGCCTGCCTCTGTCTCCTTGTGCTGGCGCCACACCTGTCTCACTTACTGTAATACAAACGTGTATGAATAATGCTCTACATAAATAAGCTGAATGCACTGTCCATGTTGTTCCTCATCCTTTTCCTTTTTGTTTTTCTTTTCAGTTATCCCCAAGCTAAATTGCGTGTTCGCCATCGAAATTGATGACTTCATTTCCTACATTTATGGAAGCAAATTCCAGCTTCGGTCAAGTGAGAGGTCTGCCAGGAAGTTCAAAGTAAAGGGAACAATTGACCTGTGAACTCTTTGCCACTGGGGACAGATGTCCCTGGCTGCGGAGAACTGGAAACGCATGAAGCGCTTTCTGGCTGTTGCCCACCCATAGTCCAGGGAAAGCAGAGCAGCTGAAGAACATTGAGCAACACAGGAGAAGTCAGAGGTAGAGATTTGCCTCTCCAGGGAGGAACGACTAGCAGAAAATACACTGGGACTAACCTGGCTGATTTGAAGAAGGGGGCCCTTAGGTTGTGTCTTTCATCCTTCTCTGTGTTTCCCAAACATTCTGTGCGGAATCTGTTACTCGGTTGATAACAAATCACACTACAGGCATAAGTGGGGCTAAATGAAAGAATCAATCTTGAATTTCTGGGTTGAAAGGGAAGGGGGTATTGAGGCTCCCTCATCCCATGGCCACCTACCACCTCCTGTTGCGTTTACGGTATGGAACATCATGGATCTGACTGGAAGTCATCCCTGCTCCAAACTCTGATCTCCCTACAGTTTGCTCTGCTGCTGTCATACATGGAGGCATAGTGAGCTTGCTAGATGGCTCTGGCCTTCATACAGCAGGGAAAATGGAGCAGAGGGACAGGTCTGCCAGTACCTGTTGGCTACTGTTTGGATACAGGTAGGCAAACCTACCAGCAAGCTTCTTCCTGTATTCCTGTGGCTCCAGAGATAGGCCAACAGCCTGTCTCTGGTCTAAGAAGGCCATGTCTCCAGCAGTGAGACCTTGGACATCTTAGCTCCATTTTTGCTGCTGAGATTGCAACTTTTCTACTATGTAAGATCAGATGAGGTCTTTCTGCACAAGGGCTTTGGAACTGCAGGTCAGGACCAGCATGAGAAATGGGTGGGGTCTAGCCAGGATTCAGGAGCCCTTGTGGCTGAAACCCGGTTCAGGTGGACCAGTTGCCCCTTGCTTGTAAGAAGTGACTGTTGCCTGGTGGTGGCGGCACACCCCTACGACCCCAGCACTCAGGAGGCAGAAGCAAACTGATCTCTGTGAGTTCAAGGCCAGCCTGGTCTACAGGGCAAGTTCCAGAGCAGGCTCCAGAGAGAGCTATACAGAGAAACCCAGTCTCAAAAGAACCAAAACAAGAAAGTGTCTGCTGACAGGCTCAGAAATCTCCCCCACCTCACCCCACCACCCCACCCCACCCCCGGCAATAATAAGTGACAACACATCTAGCCACTCACCCCAGGTAAACGGGTGTGCTGTCGCTCAAATCTTTGGGGCCTCCCACTTAGACTACACTGGATGGAAGAGGAATGAGTGAGCCTGGAATTCTGGCTTTGGGGGGGTGGGGTGTTGTGTGTTTGTTTTTTAAGTTAAATTAAAAACAATCTTATTTTACATACTAATCCCAGTTCCCTCTCTCTTGTTCTCCAACTCCCCCATCGTCTTCCCATCCCACCCCTCAGTGAGGTTGAGGCCCTTGTGGGGGAACATCAAATCTGTCACATCATTTGATAAGGAAAGAGGCCCTCCCTTTGTGTCTAGGTTTAGAAAGTATTTCTCCATAGGGAATGGGCTCCAAAAAGCCAGTTAATGTGCTAGGCTCCACAGCCCCAGGCCCAATAGACCTCCCATGCCCCCCAAATGACACCCATTTTCAGGGTGCCTAGTTCAGTCTTTATCAGGTTCCCCAGCTGTCGGTCTGTGTTCATGAACTCCCCCTTGTTCAGGTCACCTGTTTCTATGGGTTTCCCCAGCATGGTCTTCACCCCTGTTCTCATCACTCCTCCTGCTCTACAACTGGATCCAAGGGGTTCGACTCAGTGCTTGGCTGTGAAGCTCTGCTTCTGCTTTCATCAGTTACTGGATGAAGTCTCTAGGATGGCATTTAAGGCAGTCATCAGTCCCATAGAGGAAGGGCACTTAAGGTACCCCCCACTATTGCTTAGATTCTTGGTTGGGGTCATCCTTGTGAATTCCTGGAGATTTCCCTAGTCGGGTTTCCCCTTAACCCCATAATGGCTCCCCCATCAAGGTATCTCCTTCCTTGCTCTCCTCTGTCTTTCCCCCAACTTGACCTTCCTGATCCCTCATGATCTCCTCCCCCACTCTGCTTCTCCCCTCCTCTCTTCCCTCTCCCTCCCTCCCACACTCTCAATTTACTCAGTAGATCTTGTCCCTTTCTCCTCAGGGGGTCCATTCATGTCTCTCTCAGGGTCCTCCTTGTTTCCTAGCTTCTCCGGGGTTCTGGATTTTATGTTGATATCCACTTATGAGTGAGTACATACCACGTTTGTCTTTCAGATGGTTTCTTATAGTTCCATCCATTTGCCTGGGAATTTCAGGATGTCATTGTTTCTTTCCTGTTGAGTAGTACACCATTGTGTAAAGGTACCTTATTTTTTTCCATCCAGACTACACTGGATGGAAGAGGAATAGTGAGCCTGGATTTCTTTATATGATAGAAAAACAGTCTACTCCCTTGCAGAAATCAAAGTACACCCCCATATCCTATAGACTATCCAGGTTTTGGTTTTATCTGCATCATCTAGACAGTCCTCATGGTACTTCCCCAAACTACCTGACCTCCTTTTCACCACACAGTGCTTGCCAAGCAGGTTCGTGTCACATGTGAGCTCTCAGCTTGAAAGTGGTCACTGCCCAAGGTTTCATGGACTGAGAAAGAAAGGCTGAGATCTGAACCAGAAGTCCTGGCTCCAGAGTCATGTTCTTCCCAGCAGGACAGTCACAGGAAAGTGAAAAAGACTGCTAAAATGTTTCTATGTCCTTATTTATATGTTCCTTATTTGAGTTCCTGGTCTAACCAGCTCAAAAGCGTGGTGTATTTTGGGACAGACCTTTTCATCCCCACTCCTTTGTGATGTAAAGAGCACACTGTTGCAAACACAGTTGCTTCCTAGAAAAGCTGCTGGTGCCACTTGCTAAGTGCAACATTTTTCTGCTGGCCCCGATGCAAGTTCCATTTACTGGCTAGGGTCATTCTTTCTCAAGGGAAACTATGTGATGTTCACCTGCCACAAAGTCTCTGTTCTTTGCCTTGTCTCCCTAACCTCCCTAGGGGACCAAGGTCCAGATCATCCTCCCAGACACTGGTGCTAGGGAAACTGCACTTGGTACTACATGGAGCATGGCTAGCCAAGTCCCAGAGCTTCATGGAGAGGTATGGTACTTGCCACTTGTGACTCTGTCCCCATGAGCGAAATTTGGGGTGTAGGGAGCCATGTGTAACAATCAGTTACGTTGAATGTTAACCACGCACTACAGAAACTGAAGCCCCAGGAAATGTGCTATAGAATCCAATGGGAAAATCAATTGGCACCTCAAGGAATGGCTCAGATTGCTGCCGAGATAACATTCTGCCAAGGCCTCTTCCTGACTGCTCAACAGCCACCTCTCATTGTTCACATGGTCTATCCTCAAGAGGGGAGCTCCAGTGTGTCTCATAATGATACTGGTCCATTGAATTAACATCTCATCCTATGACACATTTATCCTTAGTTACCACCTTAAATTTTCTATCTCCAGTCATATTGGAGGTTAGAGCCTCTGTAAGACCCTCAGAATGAGGAGTCTCCCCATTTCGGTTGGTTCCCCCAAGAAGTCAATGTCCAGTCCAGTTGATGCAACACATAAGAGGTTTTAATGAACAAGAAATGTTTGCACAAACAGGCCCCCTCAGCAAGCAGGCTAGAGAGAAGCTTCATTCTCCAGGCACAGGTGTTTTTAAAAGGCAAAACCCACAAGCTTAGGGAGGGAGTGTGAACCTCTGTCCATTGAGTATATGATCCTTTGAGGCCGGATGGTCTCACTGTTAGGGTCAGCAGACCTTAATCTTGTCTGGGCAAACCGGAGTTGCAGCTATCTCTTCGTTTCTTAAGGACCCTATTTACCACCTGCTGACTCACTGAAAGGAGGGGCAGTGTGAATTCTTGGTATCCTGCTATCTTAGGGCTAGTGGTTAGCAAATTCCGCCTGGCATTCCAATTATTTGGGCTTCATTTCATTTCTTTGCTAGTTTAAGTCTTGCACCTCAACATAGGAATTTGAGGGGCAGTTAGTGCACACCTCAGTAACAACTGTGAAATGTTCCCAATTAGAAAGAGTTGGCTATACTTCCCAGGAAGGAAGTAACATCCAGCCTGGACCCCATCCACAGACAATGGCCTGGGGTCTTTCATGTATGGAATTCTTGGGCCATCAGACAGCTTGACCTAACTGCTAGACTCCAAGCTCCCGTTTTCCTGAATTTCATGGGCTTTGACTTAAGGCAGCACAGCCAAGTTGTAGATGTGTAGAGTGCTTGGATGGTTAATGTCAACATGACTGGATTGAGAAATGCTTTAAAACATGAACTTGGTGTGATTCTGAGGGCTTTGCACAGAGGATTATCTGAGGTAGAAGCCCCACCCTATACATGGGAAGTTCATTCCTTAAGGTGAGGAGCTGCAAACAAGAAAAGAAAGCTGACTATACCACAGGTGTGATTGCTTGCTCTGCTTATTGTCTTGTCATGTGTCCTGTTCCACTGTGCCCTCCCTGCAATGATGGCAGAAGCTATGAGCAATATAATGCCTTTCTCATGACATTTAATGTCAGGTATTTTATAACAGGGACAAAGTCTAACATGTAGGAGGGCAGAGTTGGCTCCTGAGGAGATCTATGTGATATGAAGAATCTAATCCCAGCCAGGTTCGGAACCTTCATATAGAACCCAGGAAATCAAAGCAAGGCCTGGCAGGTCTGCCTACTGTGCTCCTTGCCAATCAGAGACATGGGAAGAGCACCAGTCTCAATCCCATTAAGAGATGCCTTAGGTTGCACCCAGCTCATTGGGGGGTGGGGGAAGAGATGGCAAGAACATCTAACTTTCTAAACCACAGAGCAGGATACAGAATTTTGATCAGCTCATTGTCACCTGAGGCTACCACCTGTCAAGTGGGACAACTTGTCTGCATGAAGCCTCTGAGATCAGGCTCCTGGGATTCCTGCACTGGATTAAACAGGCATATGTCACAGCAGTGGATCCTGTGCTGCACTTCAGCCATTCTGAGTCAGACTCCAGGAGTGGAACTCTTATCCGGGTGTTAATGTGACACCCAGCCCTGCAGTCATCAATATGTGGGGATGACACATTCCAGCTGGCATCTAAGGCTCTTCCAGTCCTGGTGTCTGATTTGACTATAGATTCTTGAGCCAGGATTTGCTGGATGCTGAAAAGGATCACCCAATGAACAGTCTTTCTAGTTCTGAAGAATAAACATGATTCTTGCCCAAATCCATCAGTTAATGTAAAAGGCTCACTTTCTGGACAATGTCTTTAGGATTAATTTAGTTTGCATTTTTTAGCTACAATGCCTCATTAAGACATCTGTTAAATGTTATAATATTAATTTAATAGAGGGGACTCTAATAGAACTGTATTGGAATGTCCCATTTAATTAACCTCATAGGCCTCTAATGGATGTCTTAACTACACATTATTAAGAAGAGTACTAGACAAATTAAAATTAGAGTAGCAAACATCCTTGGTAATTTCTCACAAGCTGTGAAGGACAAGCATTGCTAAGTAGGCAATCACAGAGATGGGCTGCAAAAGAAAAGGTATTAGAGCAGCAGGAAACCCAGAATGGACAGGGTCCTGAGTATTCACCATTTTGTGTCCCAGGAGGTTTTGACAAAGAAAGATGTTTGCCAGCCACCAAGATAGCACTCAGGATCAAAGGCCTCAGCCTTTATATGCATTTACAGAAAAAGTTTCTGGCTTTGTACTCCATCTGTAAGAGCTCCCAGGAGGGGAGGAGTGTGGAAGGGAAGAAGATGGGGACCAAGAAAGGGATGACGAGAGAGAAGCATAAAAGAAAGATGAGGGTTGTGACATTGGACAATGGACCAGGCACAGTGGGACTGACTCGGATAAGGCAGGTTGGTTGGGATGGTGAATGGAATGAGATGTAAACACTACATTGCTTCTACCTTCTCCAACAACTCACCAGCTCACTCATGTGATGCATCTTTCCAAAGCCCAGGGCTGTCTACATATTCATCTCATTTGAACTCCCTTCAGTCAGCAGTCAGCATTTAACAAGAGTAACCATTCCTCACCCAGGAACTCCTCTATCCCCACCCTCCTAACTTTCCC